CCCACAAACCAACCCCCAAACCAGTAAAATAAAAAATAACAACTCTGCGTTCTCATTGCCCCACAATGCCACCACTGGAAATTCAGCCATTTGTTCACATGGTATGTATTCATAGTCTGGTGGGGGTGGGAAAGATTCTCCCTTTTCCTTATTAAAGGCCCTTGTTTTACCCTTTCCTTTTGAAAAGAAGAATGAGCAGAACAAATGCTTTTTATGACTGTGTGGGTTTTTTTCCCCATTTTGTTTTGTTTCATTTTTGTGTTAAGAATGCTTTAACCAGCAGCTGTGGACTCCCTCTAGAGAGTCCAAAATCCCTTAAAGCACCTTGCAAAAATAAAAATTTCCTCAAACACTACTGAAAACAGCCCCTCCCAGACTGCATGTGTGCTCCCTTTTGCCTCCCATGATCTCTTGATATTTGTGCTATAGCAGATTTATCCCTCTTTCTATCTCTCTTTCTCTGTTGTGTTTTTTTTTTTAATTTCTTTTCAGTGTTGATGCAAATCCCCTATTGTATTCCCCCTCTGTTCTAATCCAGTTTCCATATTCTCTGTGATGTCTTTCCTTATCTTCATTTCCTCATTTCCTTCCTCTGCTTTCCATCAGCCTCCAAAAAAGATTTGGGATTATACTCCTGGAGATTGCTCTATCCTTACTAGAGAGGATAGAAAGGTAATTGTGTCTCACATATGTTGTACTACGGCATCTAGCGCGTATGTATGTGTGTATGTGATTTTCTTTTTTTTTTTTTTTTTTGTAGCATTGCTTGGGTTTTGTGTGCTTGTGAGTGATTTTTTTTAATTGAGCTTGAGCTCATTAGCCTAACAATTAAGTACCTAGTAAATTGATTTAATAAACAATTCTTAAAGCATAATCAGCCATAATTTGGAGTCGTGGTTTTGCTATCTTGACTTGCAATGATAATTATACTAACAGCATATTGCATATTGTTACAGTATCTTTTTTTTTTTTTTTTACAGGTGGGTTTTATAACTTTATGGTTTGTAGAATTAGATTCTAGCAGGCCTGTGCATCTCTTAATTTTGAATGTTAAATGCCTAAAACTATTTCCTCTGTAATGATTGAAACATGATTAATTATTACTAGTGAATTTCTGTGTATTGTCCATACCATCTTTGTCTTTTTTCAATTAAAAAGGCTCGCTTTTATTTTTTTCTCAAAATTAACATTCCTTTGGTTTCCCTTAACCCTAAGCATTATTTTCCCATTCTTCTTCTCCTTCTTTAACCAGACTGATCTAGAAAAAGACCTCTACCTCTACCAGACTGAGTTAGAGGCAGATTTAGAAAAAATGGAGAAGCTTTATAAAGCGCCACATAAAAAGCCACAGAAGGTATTTCCTATTCTTTTCATGCTGCCAATCCCTGTTTCCAAACTCTCTGCTCTAATCTGTTCACTGCTGGATGATTATTAAATGAGGTTGGGATAAATAATGGTTCTGACCGTTCTGACTGCATGGCTTGCTGTGTCGCTGTCAGAAATAATAGAACGTGATGCTGAGAATCCGGCTTGAAATCCATTTCAGATACAGTGATTTCCTTTCTCCCCCGTTCCCTTTCAGCTCCCCCCCACCTCGTCCCCCTTTAGGGTTTTGAGTTCAGTGTCTGCAAAAAATCCCTCTCTATTTTTCACATGAATAGGCAGCAGCAATCAGCTTAAAATTCTTGGTTGGCGTCACGTCATGATCTCGTGCCTTTCAAGCGTGTTGCCATCTACCCTCCCTTCATACAAGCCCTGCTCTCTGCTAGGAGCTCATGCCTACCCAAGATTTGGATATTCCCAAGAGATTTTATGTGATTTTCCTTATGCTGCATCTTGCTATGGCCTTCTAGGGCAGGTCAGCTGCTGCTGCTTTGAGGGTCTGCAGGACCCGAACCATGAAATGATAGATTAATTTGGTAACACGCCATTTTTTCAATTTTTTTTCTGTTGTTGATTTTTTTTTTTCTGAAGCTGCAGCATTTCATCAGGACTTCTAAAAGCTGCTTTTTTAAACCCAAGGTTTCCTTTTTCTTCCTACTTAGGAATCCTCAGATAGGTGAGGGGACACCAAATAGAACATTTCTTCTAAAATTGCCTTCAGTTTTTTAAATAATGTGCCTAGGAAGTGTTAGATGGATTTAAAGCAAGCGGATAAGAACTGGCTTTTGCTATTGAACCTGTGCAGCTGGCATTGCTTCTCTTAAGTAAGGAAACTGAACTGAAACATTGCTTTTTCTTATTAGTGCTTTGATTTATTTATTTTTTTTTGAACGCTGAGGAATGTATTGTGCTGCAGAAATGTAATATACCTTTAAAGCAAAGGCGGGCAGTGACCGGTTGGGGAAAAAGCTTGGGGAAATAATTATGAGCATGTGTCTCCTGGTCATGGCCCAGCTGGTTATCTCTTCTTGCTTTTGGCTTTATTCACAATGACTCATTTGCAGACAAAAGAATAGGCGCTGCGAAAAGGCATCGGCTGTGCTAAAAACCTGTCACTGCCCTGAAGGAACTCAGGAAAATTGTCGCTTTTCTGCAAAGACATTGACAGCTTAAATTGCATTTAGACTTAAACCTCAATGTCTCCTAAAGGCTAATATTCAAGCAATAGATGGAAAATTACTTAAGCAAGCTTTTTTCTGTCTCCTCACGTGTAAGTGTGTATCAATGACTCCTTTGTTTGGGCTTTTGCAGAATACAGCAGGTGTTACTCCTCTGGAAACTTCCACAGACCATTCTTCCTAGTAAGTTTTCCAATTGCTTTTTGATGTCTCTTTTACAATCTGAGGGCATGTAGGACAGGGGTTTGGGCGTTGGAAGTGGGTTGGCTTTATGTTTTGGTGATGCATATAGACAAATGCATGTACCATGAGAATTATACACATGCTTCAGATGAGTCCAAGTACAATATCTGCTCTTTGATCTTGAATGAATTTTGAAGTGATTACATGAGTGATTGCATTGTCTAGATAAGAGTTGCTGATTGTGCTAGTCAGTGACTTTAAAAAACAAACAAACAAACAGACAAAACAAATTGATTGTAACTTCATGCAAGTAACTTTATTGCATGGAATAAAAAACATTTGTTTCTGTAACACACGTATGATAGATTGGCTCCTGTTAGATATTCTCAGTTATGCGCACCAGATCAAAAGGATGCTGTTGATGGAAGGCAATAATTTTCCAGCTTCCAGGAAGGGAACAATGGTAGCAGTAATGATATTTCTCAAAGATCTAATGTGGCACTGCTTTTCCAGAGGAATACGTAATAAACAGTACACTCTGTCTAAATGAGTTGTACACGGACATGGTTTGTTTTAAAAGAGGAACAAACCAAAAAAATCCAGAGCAAGATGCTGAGCTGTGCTGAGGTACTTGAGCCGTGAAGCCAGCTCCTCCTGCGAACCTGCTGCTCCTTGTAATTGGACTGAGTGCTTAACATTGTCTGTAGGCACAGTGATCCCCTCTGCATGTATGGTTTGTTAGGAAAGGCATGTTCTTCTCCAGACAATCATTAATATCATGTGTGTTCACCACCCCTCTGGGGCTGCCTTAGAGTTCTTCTGTACTTCTTTCAACTCTGTTCCTGTCTGTCTGTGTTCATTCTGCTGGGAAACTCGCACACTGCTGCATTTTGTTGGTTGCTCTTATGACTAGTTTGTTTTGGTAGGGAGAGCGCAATAAAATAAATGGAAATCTCAGAGATTAGCACAAATAGCTTGTATTTGCCAAAGAGTGATAAGGTTTCCACGCTCAGCAGCACTGTCTGTGCCCTTTCTGATGCTGCCCAAAGCATGCAGGAGTGCCAGGGTCTGAGCCACCGGAGGGGAAGCAACCTGGGTAGGCTGGGAATGGGACACAACAGCGAGGCTCAGTGGAGTCACAGATTCTTCCCTCCTCTGCCTTTATTGAGCAGGAAGGAAAGATACCTGGAGTTTATTGTCTTTGTTGCAGTGTTGCTCTTCCCTCCGTTCACCTGATTCTGATCTTGCAGACTGCTTGCTGGCCCTAATAAAGTACTGCTTGCTGGCCCTAATAAGGGAGCAACTGGTAAAGGGACTCTGCCAAATGCTTCCTCTCTCCCCCAGGTGTATTCCCAAAGGATGATCATTTTAACCCTTTGGTTTTTAACAACTAGGCTAAAATGCTTTTACCTCCCAGGTGAGGAACCTCAGGACAGTCATTATTCCCTGCAGCGACTGGCAGGGCTTCCTTGGGAACTTAACAAAGAGAGGCATTGGAATTACCCTCATAAGACACAACTGCTCTGTAGCTATGGGTCTGTTTGAGCATTGCCTAGGTTGAAAATGTGACAGTGTTCCCTTTCTCTTTCGTGGTGCTTTTCATGAGCTTTTACTCTGGAAAGTAATTTATGGGACGGCATATGACCTGATTTTCCTTCTCTGGAAACTAAAATCTTCTTTGTGATCCAGACATTGTGTAATTTCACCTCCACAGCCAGTCTTCTGATGTGTTTGAAAGCTTTCTCTTTACCCCATAGGTACAGCATCTATCCAAAATAAACAGATGCATGTACAGATTTATCCACAACAAGCAGGCGTAACCACAAGCATTTCCACAGTCACGTAAATTTGAATCACTCCTGGATATCAGGATGTAAACCAGCTTTTAAAATGTTTCCATGAATTGGCAAATGCCCTATTTTTTTCAAACTTTCCAGCAGTCATGCTTTGGCCCTAGAACAGTTTTGTGTGAGGCTGCATCTTATTCTGAAGAGCCTGGTTGAGCACAAGAACTGGTATCAGATGAGCTTAGCTTTTAGAAAAACATTGTCTGCCTGGTTGCTCAGTGAGTCTTTTGTACCTGGAAAGGCCATTTATACCATGGCATTGTCAGTTATTTTTTTAGAGAGAAAACAGTAAAATCTAGAAATCAGATGTGGGGGCATACTTGTGCTTAGATTCAAAACTGAAGAAAAGGGGTTTGTAATAAATGTCCAGTCTTTAAAGGCCTAAGAAATTAAAATTATACCCATTTTAACAGCATTTTTTTTATATGCATGCATAGTAGACCTAGAATCCAGGCTTTTTCATTCCCTGTAGTGGAAACCTGAGGCAAAGCTGAGCAGAACTGTGCACATCTGGGAATTACTTTACCATTTAAAACAGTAGTGTCTGTAGCCCCGTACTGTTGCTTCTCTGCATAGTCCCTCGCGGATGGGCTTGAGAAATTGCTCTGGGAGTCTCGAACTACTATAGTGTTAAATGGGAGGCTGAACTTGTTGAGATGAACTCCTGAGCAGCTGTGCTTTATAAGCAGTGGACAGGCATGGCTAGTGTTTAAGGAGAGAGGACTGGGAGCTGGAAGATATTTGTGCTACTTCCAGCTAGCCAACAAATTTCAATGTGTCTGCAAAGAAATAGTGCATCTGCTCTGTGACTCTGCTGTCTCATCTGTAAAATAAAGGCGTGCTTTCCTGCTGCCGGTTTTCTGGGGGACTGAGCTGGGAGAGTTCCCTCAGATGGACAATGCTATGGTAGTGCCAAACCTAGAACGTTATCGCAATGTATTCACAACCACTTCGTTCAGCACGCAGTCTATTCTGGGTTCACAGGTATGGTTTTCTCTTACTTTGTATGAAGCTTTCAGCAAACAGAAATGACCCACTGGCGTCTCTCCCCCTTTTTTGTGTTTTCCAGCTCCACATATTCACCCAACTACCATGCAGTGAAGAGACAGTCAGAACCAGCACTGGGGGACCCTGCTGGCTTGGAGAATGAAAGGCAGATTTACAAGAGTGTGCTGGAAGGTGGAGATATCCCGTTCCAGGGGCTGAGTGGTCTCAAGCGACCTTCTAGCTCTGCTTCCACAAAAGGTAGGTGGTCAGGGCACTGACCTCTTCTCCGTTTTGCAGAGTGTCAAAAGCCAGGTGGTATGGGGCAAACTGCTGCAGGGTTTAGAGTCCTTTTCAAGCTAATTCAGGTTTCCTCGGTCCTTCCTCTTTTCCCTCCTTTTTTCTCTCAGGCCCTGCTGGCCAATATTTTTCATGACCCCATTATCTGACCCAGGTTTCTCTTCCTGACAGGGACCAGCTCCCTCCATCCAGCACCTCAATCACCCCCCCACCCCCATATTCTTCCTCAAGGCTGCTCAGGCTGGCCTGCTATCCATCTGCTCCCACTGCCTTGCCATGCTAGAGCCCTGCCCTGCCTTTTCTGCTCTCCCTGCTGCAGTATCTCAGCAGGCCACACCACGTCTGCTGGCCTGGCTACCCTGGTGCAGCTGGTGCCCTGTGCTCCTGCCTGCCAGGGGTGTGCAGAGAACGAATGCATGGGACACTGTGAACCAGCAATGCCCTGCAGGCTCTGAGACAGTGAGGCAGCAGACACCGCTGCATGTCCTCCCCTTTCCTCCCTCCATCGTGGAGTCTCTAGAAGATTAGGACAAGGAAGATCCTGACTCCCATCAGGGAGTTGTATTGGGGAATGTATCTCTGAGCCAACTTCAATCTAAAAATGGCTTGAGATGGAGAGAGGATTGGGGAAGGAATGCGTTCGGTTTCTGAACTGCTCTCCCTAAAAATAGTACATCAGACCAAAAAGGTCTCAGTCTGTCTCTGTCTTCCAGCTGTTTTTCAGCATTATGTCAGGCCTGTAGGGCAGGGAGTCAAACTGGATCTGAACAAAAAAATCTGTTCAAACGGTTATTGTTCCCCAAATTGCAATTGAACCTGAATGGTTATTTTGACATTTGAGTTTGAACTCAAATAGGAAACAGACCAAAAAACCTGCAGTCTAAGCTGAACCCAGACTGGATCTGACGTAAAAAAAAAAAAAAGTCCCAATCTGACTCCTTGATTTTTAAAGCAAACATGGCCAACCGCATTGACTGAAGCACACTCGGCTTATTCCTAGTATGGAGAATCTCTAAGCAGGCAGCTCTTGGGCAAGGCCAGCTGATGTGGCTTGCTTGTGCTAGCACAGTCAGCCACCAATTGTCTTCTCCCTCCCAGGAATAAACTGTTTGGCAAGCAGTGTGGTGAGACTATAGTAGGTGTGATTACAGGCTTGGTATTAAGCCATACTTGCAATGTTAGTGCCTCTGCATTCTTACTGACACCCTAATCCTGCCCGGAGTTCAGCCACCCTTTTCCATGGTGCCACAGCTTCCCTGGAAACTGATAATGCTCAGCACTTTTTAGGACAATACCTTCAAAGTGCTCAAGATCTGCTTCTAGCCAAGCCTCTCATTTTAGAAACGTTAGCAACACTTCACCTACTCCTGTAAACGCAGCTTGTTGTGCAGTTTCTTCCTGCTTTTCTTTATGTTTTGGAACTTTGTTTCTTTAAAATGCATTTTATGAAATCCAAGCATGTTCTTTCTCCTTTCTTGATAGCTTTCTAGCACTTAAGCTAACAGGTTGTATTTATTTTATTCTGCATGCTTACCAGTGGATCGTAAAGGTGGGAATGCTCATATGACTGCACCCTCTTCAGTTAATAGCCGAACCTTTAACGCTAGTCATACCGGTATGTTAGGTCACGCATGTAAACATAAGAAGCCTTTATCAGCTGCAAAAGCCTGCATTACTGAAATCCTCCCTTCTAAATTCAAACCCAAACTGGCAGCTCCAGCTGCTCTTGTGCAGGACAAGAAGGGTATCTTGCTGTCTCATGAGAAAGCTCAAAGCTGCGAAAACCTTCGTAGCTCCATTGCCTTGTTCAATAATAAAAAAGCTTTCATGGTAGACATAGGGGAAAGCGTAGAAAACATGTTGATGAAGTCAAAGGAGGAGTATGCCATCAAATCCAGCAGTACCATGAGCCTGCAGGAGTATGGCACCAACTCTAGGAAAGGCTACCTGTTCCCTGTCTCCAGGAAGAGTGGGATGGAGTTTACAATGCTGTATAAAGACATGCACCAGATCAACCGGTCCAGGATCCATTTGGGCACAGTGTCCTCCTGCAGCGTGAGGGATATTGCATCTCAGTTTGAGAATGAAGCAAAGGACAGGATGGAGCACAGCCTTAGTCGAGAGGATTCAGAGCAGATCCCCAAACACACAGTTTCGTCCCGTATCAGTGCCTTTGAGCAGCTGATCCAGAGATCCCGATCAATGCCCTCGCTTGACTTTTCCACTGGACAAAACAAATTCACCACTTCTCTCCAGTCTAAAACTTGTCTCAGTTCTGCCTACTCTGCAGAGTTTCTTCTGGATTTGCCAAAAGCACACCAAGAAGAGAAGGATGCTGCCAGCTTGGCAGATAAATCCTCCCGCTCCTGCAGCAATGTGGAGGACACGGCTTCAGATGTCAGTGATGTCATCCCTATGGACACACTTTCAGCTTGCATGGATGAGATAGATCTCCTCTCAAATGCATCCAACGACAGCGGCAGCAGCAGCAGTAACCTCAGTGGGCCTCAGAAGCATAAAATCAACAGATGCAAAGGCGCATGCCCAGCTTCCTACACCAGGTTCACTACCATCCGAAGACATGAGCAGCAGCAGGCCTCCAGGAACCTTGATTCCAAAGGGGATGTCTATGGGGACAGACACATGCTCCCCAGAAACGTCTACCTAATGAGCCCGCTCCCCTTCCGATTGAAAAAGCCCTTCCAACACAAATCCTGCAGGACTCCACCCCCAGACTGCCCGGGAAGCCCGGCAGTGCCCAGCCCTGAGAATCCAGATGACCCCATACAGCTGCAAGGGAGCGTAGGAGACAAGAGTCACCACTCCCAGCACCAACTGTGTTCCAGAAGCAGGCCTCTAGCCCCCAGGCGCCTGTCTTCCTTTGACATTGTGGAGAGGCTTAGCTACTTTCCCACCATGGGATCTAGCCAAGATAGCTTCATGGGCCGGGCTGACACTCCTGACTCCTTAAACAATGGGAACCCTGTTCCATATGCCCTCTGTCACAGCCTGGACACAAACAACAACCCGCAAAGTGAACTTGGGACGTACCTAGGAGGTGGCTTTTTGTGTTCTTTACCAGTGTCCCTTCATCTGTGTTCTTGCTTTTCTTTCTCCTCCCCTTTTCTTCCTCAACCCTTGCATTTTTGCTCCCCACCTTTGCATCCCCTGACTCTGTTTTTTTTTTCCCTCTAGTGTGTCTAACGTCCTTTGCGTGTCTTGCTGAGCATTTTTGTTCAGGACTTGTTAACAGCTGCACTTCTGAGAAACGATTTCCGCTGCCTTTCTAATCACATCGGGTTCAGTTTGTCACTCAAGCAACTCCGGGGATGCAAGAATCTCCACATGAGATATTTCTAGTCCTATATCATTTGCACACATGGGAATATAAAACAAACCCAGATGATTTGCTTTAAGGAGCAGTTTCTCAAGGTCTAGTTGTGTGTGTGTGTGGTGTGTGTGTGTGTGTATTAAACTTTTCTCAACAGTAAAATGCCAAATCATACTTTGATGGCAGCGAACCTTTTCTTCACAAAGTCTTTCTATGTACCGTACCATTATTTTCTCCCTGTTTTTGGATCTTTGTTCACAACTACAGCCCAAAAGGGAAAAAAATGAAAATGGATAAATTATTGACATCCGATTGACAATTTGGTCAATGGCAATTGAGAATCCTTACTGTCATAATGGAAACAAATTGTTTAAAAATATCTATTTTTTTCCTTTCTGGTTATGCTAGATAAATCCATCTGTGTTTTAACTTCCTTATGTTGTTTCGAAGTAGATTCAGAATCGCCAAGGCATTTTGCACCAGTTGATTACATGGAAACTCCAGAAGAAATCATCCGCAGACGGCATGACGATAAAGAGGTAATGCCCTCCTTTATGGCCTAATAACAGTTGTAGAAGCTCCAGATACAACAAATACAGTATTCAGCCTTATATAAGGACTGCTTGTATGTCCATGGCTATGTATATTGGAAGTTAGAGCAACAAGCTGTAACTAGTATGTTTTAATTTTAATACTACCTCTGGCACTGATTTAATGTATAATGTGTAGTCCAGTTTAGTTTTTGTTTAAAATGAACCTCATAGTTCTTATCAATTGCACAAAATGATATATGGGGTCGTTAAAGAATGTAAAAAAGGTTGGAGGTGTATGTCAGATGTGGTATGACACCCCAGTACTCACAGATAAAGATGAAATGGTTATTCTACAAGTGAGTTAAGGTTTTATTGTTCTCCAAGCAAGTGACTTGAGTAGGTGTTAATCAAACTGGTGAGAACAATATTTTTCTTGTGGGGGTCCTCAGATTTTGAACAGCAAATCTAAGACATTTTAAGCTATGAGAAAGTGTGAAGTTACCCCCAATGCAAACTGGAATTCCTTATGGTGTCTTATGTTGTTGATGACAGAATATAGCAGTCCTTTTCAAAATGGCTGGGCAACAACACTGGGACAAGCCAAAATAATAGGAAAGCCATGTAGACTTTTCAGCACTGACTGTATTCAAGCTGAGTTAAAGAAGTCATAAAGCGATTGCTTTCCAGGAAGCTGTTAATTTTGACTGTCTGGAGGGGAAAAAAAAAAGTTATATTTTTACTGCGACCTTTCTGAGTTCAAATAATGTTTGTGTGTGCTTTGAAATATGGTAAAACCTGCTCTTAATTCCTATGTGAAAAATATATTTTTACTGTCTTCTTCCATGAAACAGTTAGTATTCCCCCCACCTCTAAAATCCAGCACAAAAACTCCTGTAAGAGCAAAACTCTGAATTCATTAAGACCTGCTGGCTTCAAATGAGTTAGTACAGAGCTGAACTCTTCAGCCTACAGTCCAGCCCCAAAAAGTGGAAGAATCTTTCTGCCCAGGTACTCAAGAATGCACATTTCCATTAGTGTGCCAGAGACTTCAGAAATCTAAAATAATTCTTTGGGATTTATTTATGTAATTTTATGAATTGTATTACATGAGCCCAAAGGAAGTATGGGAGAACCTGATACCTGCAGGTGGTAGGTACTCTCCCAAGTTCCTTACAAAGCTCAGGGGAGTTTGATGCCTCGGAACTTACCTGTGGGGCTGATTCAGGTCTCTTGGAAGTCAATGAGAGAAACTCCTTGTTGGTTGAAGGGGGTTTGGTTCAGCCCTCTGCATATCAGCAATCTTCTTAGAAGCTCTCAGGACCTGGCCAAAAGTCCTCCTTGACTTCCATCAGCTGTGGATCAGATTGTCTGTATAAGCTGGATTTCAGTTATGCTATAATGGTGATGTATTTTCTGTGCTTGCAAAATGAAAAGGTATTGTGTAGTTAGTAGAATTAGTATTTTGTGTTGAACTGTAAAATCCCAGCTATTTGCTGGGACTTCAGAAATTTTATTTAAGTCACATTTATGGCAGCTTTTGAATACCCTTAACTAGATGATTTACTGCCCATTTTATGCAATTTTATGGCAGAAACTTTTAGAGGACCAGAGACGACTTAAACGTGAGCAAGAAGAAGCTGATATTGCAGCTAGAAGGCACACAGGGGTTATTCCAACGCACCATCAGTTTATCACTAATGAGCGATTTGGGGACCTTCTAAATGTAGACGATACAGCAAAGAGGAAATCTGGGTCAGAGGTCTGTTTTAGTTACCTCAGTCTGCTGCTTGACCCAAAGCAATATTTGCCTCTCACAGTGTTGTGCTTTAGGCCGACATTAGCTCTTCAGAGAATGTCGGGTTGTTTTTTTTCCACCTTCCCCTTTCCCATTCTGGCTTCATTTAGATCTGCTTTGACTCTTGTGCCTGGTAAATTAATTGATATCTCTATACCAAGCTGCATATGTTAAAGCATGCCTGCTGAGAATTGCTGGTGCACACCTGTGATGCATGCCTTTAAATATCAGCTACTTTTAGTGAATCAAAGGCATTCTACATCTTTTGTATCATATTGCTACATTGTCTTCTTGTCTGTGCCTTACGCTTAGAAACTTCATGTCTTGTTGATCCTGGCCATGTGACTGTCTCATATTTTTTTTAGAAATAGATTGTTTCTTCTCCTCTTGAAAGATGATTAATGTCCTTTAGAAACAACTGGAAAAAGTCTCGGCATGTTTCATTGCATACAACCCGGTCGGTCTTTCTGAAAGACACAAAGGAGGAGGCAGATGGTTTTCCCATGAGCCCAAGGCACTTTTCCCAAGGGCTGGATGCTAGTCCAGGTGTCCTGGCCAAATGCCTTTTCCTGCTTTAGGGATTGCTGCTGAGGCTCTGGACAGCAGCTCTGTTTCCCCAGAGGTGCTGCACCACAGTGATTGGTGAGGTAGTCGCCATGTGGATGGAGTGCACTTGTCTGCCCTTTGCTTGTGTAGTTTCAAATGCTCTGGTGCCACATGAATGCGACTACTTCTTATGTTGTGCTCTATTACCAAAATTACTTTAAATTTGTCTAAATATTTTGTGGCCATTAGAAAATCAGCCAAGTAAATCCAGCTTTAAAGCCTAGGCCTGCTGTCAACGTCCTCTTTGGCTTTGCAGCCACTGAAGATGTTTTTTAGACACGTGCTTAATTTATTCATATTTCCTCCTCACCTTTGTCTCTTTCCTACCAATTTATACAGAGTGCTTAGGTCACATTGCAGGATTCAGCAGGGCCAGGTAATAATCAATAAGAACCGCATCAAATATAATCCTACTGGGATTTTTTGCTCTCCTATTCACACGTCAAAGGACATTTAGTCCCAGAGGCCCAGTAACTGTAGTTACTGGAGCAGATTTCATTCAACAACTGTTGTCACATTTAAAAGTTTACTGCTGTTAAATCCCTTTCCTGTAGAGTTCTTAATTACCGTTATATCAGAAGTTGGCACTTTTTGCCCTGGTGGGAAAGACCCATCCAGCATATTTGGACTGTAGTATCAGTTGCACACAAGCTTGTAGCAGAATACCTGCATTCATTGTCATCCCCAGACTAATGTTAGCTATAGAAGAGTTTGGGTGCTTTTCCTCAGAAAAAGGTTGAAAAACTAATTATTTTTTTAATGTGTTGATTTTTTTGATCTCTAGATGAGACCTGCTAGAGCCAAGTTTGACTTTAAAGCACAGACGCTGAAGTGAGTACAGCTTATTACTTGAGTGTTCTTCCTCTGCCTTTTCCCCTAGGATGCAGCACTTATGAATTGTCATGCAATTGGATTCATGTTTTGGGAGTGTCTTTCCAGCAACTCAAAGCAAGGTGTCCATAGTAAGGTGGGGAAAAGTAGTATGAGTCTTGCAGATTGTAACCTGTAAAGGACCTTTAGGAAAACTGTATCTATATCCCAGGTGATTTTTGGGGCAAACCAACATTCTTTACTGGAACAAGTAAGCATTCTGCTCTGAGGGTAGGTGGAGCCATGGGAGAGTGCTCTTGCTGCTGTTCCTCCTTGCACCTTGTAAGCAGGATGGCTGGTGTGAGACCTGTCAGCAGCAGCTCTGTCACTGCCCTTGCTGGAGACAGAAGGGATTCCCCTGCATCCCTGGTTGTGCTCTGATTCAGGAGCTGGAAGAACTGTGCTAGTCAGTAGCTCACTCTGTAAATCTGCCGTACAGATGGTCACAAGAACATAGATATGCAGAACAGCAGCATCCTTTTCGCTGTGCTAAGCATAGCCCAAAGTCAGCGAGGGACTTAGATGCCTAGCTTTAAGGATGTAGGTGGGCCCTTGGCTCAGGTTTTTTGTGATTCAGGACCTATAAGGGTACAGAGTGGTCACTGCTCCTCTGGCATCTGTGGATACACCAGATGATGTTTCTGGTGGCATCGTTGTACCTCCGAGCCCTGTTGTGGTCCCATGGGTGAATCACACGGCACTACTCGTGCCTTTTGGGAAACACTGCTGTGAAGAGAAGGCCTGGAGGCCTTTCCCTCTGCATGAGCCTGGAGAAGCTCTCATTTTAACGTTGCTAGGGAGGGAAGAAACAGCAACAGAATTTGGTGAAGTACCTGCAGTTTTTCTTCTCAAGTGCTAATTCCTTATAATATTTTGTTGTATGTTCTGTAGGTGATGATTTGTAATGATTTACACAGCATTTCCCCAGCACCTGTAATAAGACTGAGGTAGATGTAAGGTATAACTGTTGTGTCCCTTGAGCAGAACATACCAGGGTGCCAGACAAAAGTAAAGGAGAGCTTGTGAAAATTGTGTTAGGGAAGGCTGGGTTGGTTGTTTTTCTATGGGGACCCAAGTTGTAGGTTTATGAGCCTAGTACAAGCTGCCCACAGTGGGAGTTCCTCAAGCTGCAGACATTCAATAATTCTGACACTGAAGACTGTAGATTGAAATCCCAATTGTTAGCCCAGGTGAGGTCAGTGGTTGCACAACCACAGGCTGACCAGAAATGTAATCATTGCAGGATCAGCATTGGTGTGTGAGGAGGGTTCATCTAATTAGCAGGCTAGCTTCCATGAAAATCATGTGTCACTCTGGAAGGCACTTGTAACATGACCTGTTTCAAAACAGGAATTGAATGCTGCTTACAATATCCAACATGGCAACTTTTGCTTGAGCTTGACCCCATTGCTGCTGGAGGGTGTGTGGTTAGTAGGACCCTCATAGGCCAGTGTTTTTGACAGGATGCCCAAAGAGCAAGAGAGTCTGAACAGGGTAATTCTCAACACGCAGCTTTCGCTTCGTTGGAGCATGATTTGTATCGACAGGCTGATGCAGACCTTGGTACCTAGGAATTGCTGGACAGAAAAAGAACATGTCTGTTCTCCAGTGAAGTTCTGATAGAGTGCTTGTGTTGTTTACAGGGAACTTCCTCTGCAAAAAGGAGATATTGTTTACATTTACAAGCAGATTGACCAGAACTGGTATGAAGGCGAACACCATGGCAGAGTTGGCATCTTCCCACGATCGTACATAGAGGTAGTGGCTTTCCTTGCGAGTGTTCTCTTTGTCCACTCCCTTTCTGTCAGTGACCAGTTTATGGGCTTTTTGTATGTGATTCATTTGATTCTGTTTGTTCATTCTAGCTCCTCCCACCAGCAGAGAAAGCTCAGCCCAAAAAGCCATCACCATTGCAAGTATTGGAATATGGAGATGCTATTGCTAAATTCAACTTCAATGGAGATACCCAAGTGGAAATGTCCTTCAGAAAGGTAGGACTTTTGTTGTGCTGATGAATTGAATCCAGACAAATGCTAAAGATTTTTAACACTAGTAACTTGCAATTTCCAAATGAAAGCTCCAATAAGACGAACTCTGTATTCAGGAAGGATACCTTCTCATCACCCATGTTTTTACTCCATAGTCATTATGTAGTGATGCACAAGTGCTGGAAGTCTGGCTCTGCAAGGCAAATTAGATATTTGGTGACATCTCTAGTCTGAGATGGCCCTAGTGGAGATGCACACAGTCACATGAGAATGGTGATACGGAAAAGGAGCAAATAGGGTTCACCTTCCTTCGTACTACAAGCCAAATCATTGTGCACAGGCAAGCAAGGTTCTGTGGCATTGAAGTAACTGGCTAGACCTATGTAGTGCATTGCAGCAAGAGTGTTGCAGGTAGGCTGAATCAAGAAGTGCCAATTGCTTCCTTAGGGCTAGCTGAGAAGACACTTTGAGCACAAGTGCTGGAAGTCTGGCTCTGCAAGGCAAATTAGATATTTGGTGACATCTCTAGTCTGAGATGGCCCTAGTGGAGATGCACACAGTCACATGAGAATGGTGATACGGAAAAGGAGCAAATAGGGTTCACCTTCCTTCGTACTACAAGCCAAATCATTGTGCACAGGCAAGCAAGGTTCTGTGGCATTGAAGTAACTGGCTAGACCTCACTGCAGAGTGAAGGGATAGGAGTGGGTTGTGTAATGGCTGTTCAGAGCAAAGTCAGCCATATTTAGATTAAGTAGCAGCATTTCTCCATCTCTGTCAGCTTTCTGTTTCGATGCTCAGATTAGATCTTGTCTGTCTTTTAATTACACGTGAAGGTGGGGCTTGCAGTTTATATTAAGGATCTGGACGTCACTTGTCAGCAAAACAGGAGAGAGCATAGAGAGACTTAGTTTAAACTGCAGACCTGTACGTACTCCCTGTACACCTCATATCCCTAGGAGTCTTGTGGTCAGCCTGAAACTGCTGGCTTCCGATTTTTTTAACTGGCTTTAGCAAGTAGGGTCTTGAAAACATGAAATGAGCATATCAGAGCCTGTAGTTAGCCTGAGTCAACACCAGAAGATCTGCATTTCCTCCTTCTCTGAACTGACAAGTATCATTCTCACCCAGAGGTTAGGGTTAAGACCGCATAACTGGGAAACAGGGGAAGCTGAGAGCCACCAATTGTTTTAAGTCAGCTGCAGCAAGATTAAAACCATAATCTGCTTGAGAATGATGGAATATGTTAAAGTCAGGACTACATTACTATTCCTTCCCATAGGGTGAAAGGATCACGTTGATTCGACGAGTGGATGAGAATTGGTATGAAGGAAAAATCTCTGGCACCAATCGCCAAGGCATCTTCCCTGTCACTTACGTGGAGGTGCTCAAACGGCCAGTGGTGAAGAACGCCATCGACTATCCTGACCCACCAATGTCCCTGTCCCCTAACCGCAGCATGACAGCTTCACCACAGGTATTTGGACTACATGCAGCTAGTTACAGCACCTTGCAGAACAGAGGGATGTTGCCGTTGCTGTGCAAGAAGCAATAGCTGAAAAAAGCTGTAGCTAAGACTAGTGTTCTGTGCAGTAAAAGCCATGTGCTCCCTGCAGTATGCTGCAACTGCAGGAAGAGGTGATGTTTCATTTACCAGAAAGGTTAATGAACGGGTCATTTGGGGATTTGGAGACTCAGTTTTTCATCTCTGATCTGTAGCTTGAATTCAGGCCAGGCTGAAAGGGCTACAGTTCACAGCCATCTGAATAAATTTCACTGCCAGACATGGAATGAATTGGTGATCCAGCTCCTCCTGAGTGCATGTTTACACTTTACAGACCCTCCACTATGATGAGTGAATTTTTTATTGTGGCTATTAAAAGGGCATCACAGACTGTTACAGTCTGTAGGAGTCATTATGTTGATCCCAGTCAGCTTGAATCAAACTGTATACAAACTCCTAAACGTTCTAGCTCACGATCAAGGTTTTGGGAGACAGGGTCAGGAGAGCGGCCCATATTATTTTAAATTGGCGCTAAATGAACTCGGGTTTTGAGAGCAGGCCGGTCTGGGATCTTCCATAAATATTAGATTCACTATAAACCATACTGCAGTTCAAAACAGAAATCAAAATGGCAGCAGGTAATTGTACGGAGATCCCAGGATGTTTGCCGTGGGAAATGTATCGGGGAGGCAATGAGTCTCTAAATCCCTTTGTTCTGCTCTCATCCTGCAAATACTCATGCTTGAAAGTCAGCATACATGTCTGGGTCGCGGCCATGAGGTCCTGGTGCGTCCCCCTCTTGCCCATGGGACTGAAGCAAGGTCATTCTGAGGTCAAGACTGCAAGGAACAAAAGTGGAGAATTGGGATCGGGAGGAAGGGATATATGGTACAGGATGGATGGGAAAGACTGCCGTGGCTCATGCCTGGTGTCTGTCTGGGTCTTCCCTAAAAGGAGTGTTTTTATTCTTAGCCATGGTGTAAAGAGAAAGATTTGTTGCTTGTTTGGGGTTCCCTGACAAAGTGGACCTCAGCTGAGCTTTTTTGTTTGAGCTTGGCAGTCTCTGCATAGCTGTGGCCTGTCTGCCACTGGCTTTCTGCAAGCTTGTTTCTTTGATGGAAGGGATTGTATCCACCCTTTTTCGGTTTCCTTTGCTATTCTTTTGATGCCTCCCCTGATAAAACAGTTCTCTCCCTTACTTTTTTGCCTAACTTGGCAGAGGACTGGGAAACACTCTGATCAGTGCTAATGTAGCTGATCTCACTGATGTCGCTGGTGGTAATAGCTAAAGACAGAACTTGGTCATGTGTTCTGCCTTTATAAACATAAGACCTACTTCAATCACCTAAAGACCAAATAGCCAAAGCTGGCTTTTTTGATCCCTTTCTCCTCCACAGCTTCAGCAATGCAAGTTTCTTGAGGAGCAGGCATTGCTCATCCTAGAGTTGGATAAAGTCAAAATTCATTGCAGCAGTGAATTCTGACTGGGTTCATGGTGTGAGTTGCTGGGGCCCCAGAATTACTGCCAGGCCAGTCAAACGCTGCATGCTGCCATCACGGATGGTGGCTTCAGCTGCTCCCTGAGGGACTTAGGGCATGGTATGAAGTCTAAGGTCTTTCACAAGGTGTTCTGTGTCTGGGGTGCTGGCAAAGGCTGGAGAAAGGGTATTAGCAGCACAGATACAGACTAGACTCTGTGGTCGGAGTAGCTGTGGACAGCGTGTTCTCCAACACAGCGCACCTGTCCATGGAAAACTTATGCACCATGCTTGATCACAGATCTGCTCCTCTCCACACTCACTCTCTCTCCTTTTACTTTTGCTCAGTCATTTTGTATTTTCCTTTATTATTTTTTTGTTCATTTCTTTCTTTTTCTCTCCTGCTTTTGTCTCCTTGAAGTCTCCCAGCTCTGAGCTGCTCCATACACCAACTCCTCCGCCTTTGCCTTTCGCGCGCCGCGCCTTATCTCCAGAGGTGCAGGCGGTCACATCTGAGTGGATTGCTCTGACCGTGGGAGTGTCTCCTAGCACCACTCCTGCCATAACTCCTCCATTGCCTCCTCCGCCTGAAGCCTCCCTCTCTCACACTGACTATCTCTCGCCTTCTGCTGCAGCCAGCCCTTCCCCCTCGGTCAGCCTCCACCATTCTCATCTCTCTGGCTCCTCGACTCCCAGGTCCATTAAATCCCCATTGCCCTCTTACTCATCCAGACCTCAGTCCTCTGCTCGCAGTTTCTATCAGGCCACTCCGCAAAGTGAAGAAAAGTTTGTTGGCTCCCCTTCTCCCAGCATCAGCTACTCTAACTCCCCTCGCCGGGCAGTGGGGAGCCCTGAAAGCATCCTCGCAGAGCAGCGTGACACCACTGGCAGCCAAGCCTGGCTCCAAAAGACTAGAGAGGGCAGCAGTAACCCCGAGCAGGGTGCTCGTGCTGTTCCCAAGATCTCTGTTGAGCGATGCCTGAAACCGTCCCAGCTAGACATGCGTGTGAGCCCAGAAAAGAGACCTGTGGGTTCCTCTGAGGACAACCAGTTGTGTCAGGAGCTAATGGCTATTGTGCAGGGAGGTAAAACAGAGAAAAGAGGCATGAGGAAAGGTGATCTGGGAAGGTTTCAAAGCGGGGAAAAGAAGGTACTTCTCCTGCATGTGTGTGTGCTGCTCTGAATCCCTGATATTAACTGGTGTGTTGAAGTTTGTGTTGCTCTGCTGACCAGGCAGAGCCAGTGGCTGCCACACATTGTTTTGATTTGATTGACCTTCTTCCAGGGGTCACCAGTGGCACTCACTGGATAGCAGATCAAAAAGTTTTAGAAGAGGGCTCAGGAGCAGTGTAGCAAAAATTATTTTAGAATAGATAATAACACAGAACTGACTCAATTGGTCACGTCTGATGAGGTGATTGTCCCAGACTCTGGCTATTACCAGATGTGTCAGATAAAAGTATCACACAGGCCTCATGCCCATATACCTCACTGTGTAGAATACAGGTAATTCCTCAGTATTCAGAGATTTTCCAGTGTGCAATGGATCATCTTTGGTGATAGGATTTATTTGTTCCTCCTAACGCCGAGGACTGAAAAACTTTGTAAATGTCAGCCTGGCTCCTAGAATCACAAAAGCTGTCCCCTGTTGATCTTGGAGCCTGTGGTTTAGAGAACCTTCGCCTGGGATGTGCATGACTAAATCAGGGAGGCTTGACTGTTATTTATGCATTGAGTGGGATCTATTACCTTTCCATTTTCAAAATGATGTGAAAGGGTCTAGCCACATATGAGAATTGGACCTAGTGACATTTTTCCCCAAGAGTTTTTAGTTATATGTAGCTGTATGTTACAATGAGAGGGAACATAGGGGAACCCTCCAGTAGCATCTACCACATATCTTCTGTCCCCGGTCTTGGTATAGGAGATCTGCCTTACTTTGCAGCTCTCACATGACTTGGGGTCCATTGCAGGCTACAGCCAGCCAATATACATTACAGCACCCCCATGCTACCTTGTATGAGAGTGTAAGTTTGGAGAGCTCAAAGTCATGGCATTATAAATACTGTCTTGGATGCACTGTGATAGCTTCCGTGACATACCCCGTCTGCCAACATTAAATAATGAGGAACTAGGGTTTCTAAAATGACACATTTCACACTGGGAAATCTTCTGACAAATTGTTTGATCTCTGCTTGAATCGTAACCAGAAGTGTATTGAAAGCTGTATAAAGACTGTGCTGTTTACCATCTGGATATATTTTTAGTAGCATTTTTTACAGGCATAACCTGCATGTTTAAAACAGAATGAGGTGGCCAGCTCAGACAGACCAACTGGAAACTGCACTTGCTCTTGCATGGAGTTATGTTTGCTGTGTGTGCATCAAATTTACTGGATAGTAGATGCTCTTATCACTAGCAGTGATTGTGGTAAGAGAGTGTGTGCCAAGCTGACCAACTTTTCTTTTCTTCAAAAGACTGCAGACTCAAAAGCATTCTCTTCATCTGCTCCTCTCTCTTCCTATGCACTCTCTTCCTCTACTGTCACAACACAGCCACCTCCCAGACTCACACGCAGAGTCAATAAGCCACAGGTAATCATCTTTGCTGATTACTCTTCCATTACTTAGTGTTGTTTCCATGCCATGCCATTGTTTTGTCATATGATTGTTTAGCCATTCATTGATTTCACAGGTAAGATATTTCTCCTGTCATTTAATTCAGAACTTTTATTTTTTTTTTAAATCATTTGAAATCACTTCCAGGCTGTGCAGAAGGGCAAGTATGGGCAAAATCTTCAGCTGGTGCAAATCCACATAGTGCAAGTCTGGGTTTCTGCGAGTTTGTACCAGCTGAGGATCTGATTTTTCTGTTCCTCCAAAGGATTAAACCAGGGCTTATTTAGTTCTGATGTTGAGATCCTACATCATAAGGCAGTGGCCTTGTTAGGAGGAATGATGTAGAGTGAGATACTTTGGTTCAGGTTTTGTTTAACCACCTGAGATCAGGATTCAGGGTTTGAGTGTCTCGAGACAGGGGTAAGGCATACACAACTTGGCATCCACAATGTCAGGGAGCCTTCCCCGGTAGGATTCAGAGGTTCTCAGCTCTATTGCTGAGAGCTACAAACATCTTTAAAGAGGGATGCAGAAGGGTCTGTGCAGCATAACCAACTTAGCCTCAGCACCGTGTGGCTGGGACATCCAGGGTCTGGGATGCAGCTGCTGGTGTCTCGTTGGTCCTTCCAGGCAGCTTCCACAAGATGGCAATATTTGAAACGGAAAGCTCACAATTAGCAAAAACTGGACTGAGTTTGCAGTGCTGGGTATTGGGGAAGCAATCTGTGGCTTGATCAGTGAACCAGGCAGGCTGCTCGTGCAGGATGTGTGGGAAGTAGTGGCCAATGTTACGTATTTTCTTGATCAGTTTATGAGAGCGAGATACAGCTTTAACCCTGAAATTTTCCTGTTACCTTTACTCACTTCATTTCCTTAC